GTTGGAGAGACCCACAGGGTCCTAGCACGTATACAAACCAACCCACCTGGGAATCAGCACCAGAAGGGCCCGATTTGCTTGTGAGTAATGGTAGAAGGGACTGAAAGCCAGCTGAGATCTGAACAAGCAGCATTGTTCCCTCTAGGACCCCCATCCCCACAAACAGCACCACAACACAGCAATTCGTGTTGCCCCACCCTGGTGAACACCTAAGGCTCTGCCCCTCATATGTAACAGGCATGCCAAAGCAAAAAAACAAAACAAAAAAAAAGGCCTAAACAAAAGAACAGATCAAAGCTCTAGAAAAATACAACTAAGCAAGGAAGAGATAGCCAAACTATCAGATACATAGTTCAAAACACTGTTAATCAGGATTCTACAGAATTGGTTGAAAATGGTCACAAAATAGAGAAAAAAGTGAAGGTTATGAAAAGTGAAATAAAGGAAAATGTACAGGGAACCAACAGTGATGGGAAGAAAAGTGGAACTCAGATCAACAGTTTGGACCAGAAGGAAGAAATAAATATTTAACTAGAACAGAATAAAGAAACAAGAACTCAAAAAAATGAGGAGAGGCTTAGGAACCTTCAGGACAACTTTAAACATTTCAACATTCAAATCATAGGGGTGCCAGAAGAAGAAGAGGAAAAGCAAGAAATGGAAAATTTATTTGAAAAAATAACAAAGGAGAACTTCCTCAATCTGTCAAAGGAAATAGACTTCCAGGAAGTCCAGGAAGCTCAGAGAGTCCCAAAGAAGTTGGACCCCAAGGAGGAACACACCAAGGCACATCATAATTACATTACTCAAGATGAAAGATAAGGAATCTTTTTTAAAATATATTTTATTGATTATGCCATTACAGTTGTTCTATTCCCCCTTCATTCCCCTCCACCCTGCACATCCCCTCCCCCACCATTCCCCTCGTTTAGTTTATGACCACGTGTCTCAAGTTCTTTAGATTCTATATTTCCCCTACTATTCTTACCCTCCCCCTATCTATTTTATACCTACCATCTATGCTACTTATTTTCTGTACCTTCTCTCCCCTTCTCCTTCTCCCACTCCCCTGTTGCTAACCCTCCATGTGATCTTCATTTTTATGATTCTGCTCCTGATCTAGCTGTCCTCTCAGTTTGCTTTTGTTTTAGGTGTGGTTGTTAATAACTGTGAGTTTGCTGTCCTTTCACTGCTCATCTTTTTTATCTTCTTTTTCTTAGATAAGCCCCTTTAACATTTCATATAATAAGGGCTTGGTGATGATGAACTCCTTGAATTTGATCTTATCTGAGAAGCACTCTAACTGCCCTTCCATTCTAAATGAAAGTTGTGCTGGATAGATCAATCTTGGATGTAGGTCTTTGGATTTCATGACTTGGAATACTTCTCTCCAGCCCCTTCTTGCCTGAAAGGTCTCTTATGAGAAATCTGCTGACAGTCTGATGGGAACTCCTTTGTAGGTGACTGTCCCCTTATCTCTTGCTGCTTCTAGGATTCTCTCCTTCATTTTAATCTTGGCTAATGTAATTGTGATGTGCCTTGGTGTGTTCCTTCTTGGGTCCAACTTCTTTGGGACTCTCTGAGCTTCCTGGATTTCCTGGAAGTCTATTGCTTTTGCCAGATTGGGGAAGTTCTCCTTTATTATTTGTTGAAATAAGTTTTCCACTCATGACTGCTCCTCTTCCCCTTCTGGTACCCCTATAATTCGGATGTTGAAACGTTTAAAGATGTCCTGGAGATTCCTAAGCCTCTCCTCATTTTCTTGAATTCTTGTTTCTTCATTCTTTTCTGTTTAGTCATTTTTTTCTTCCTTGTGGTCCACTCCCTCGATTTGAGGTCCAGTTTCCTTTCCATTACTATTGGTTTCCTGTGCATTTCCCTTCATTTCAATTAGTTTAGTCTTCATATGTTCCTCTAATTTGTAACTAAAATTAACCAGTTCTGTGAACATCTGATCACCAGTGTTTTGAACTGTGCATCTGAAAGTTTTGCTATTTCTTCATCACTTAGAGTTATGGGCTCTGGGGCTTTGAGTTCTTCTTGAGCCATAATGTTTTGCTCTGTTCTCGCCTGTTACATATGAGGAAGGGAACCTTAGTTGTTCACCAGGACGGAGCCACCCAGGTCGCTGGTTTATGACAGTGTATGTGGGGGCGGGGTCAGAGAGAGACAATAGCAGTCCCCTCTGCCACTTCCCGCCGCTGGGGCCTGCTCGGTCTGTCTCAGACTCACTGCTCGCTCCTTCGCAGGTTTATCTGCGCAAAAATGTGTGACCACGGTCAGCCCTCAGTGGGTCCGCTGCCTTGTGCCCTCAGTGGGTCTGCCTGCTACTCCACACCTGGATCTGCCCACTGCTTCCTTAGTGCCTGGGTCGCGCGCCCCGGTCAGTCCGGTGGATCTTTCCTGCCCGACCCCTGCTCTGCTGCTGGCTCTGCCCCTCTTACCGGTCTGGCTGAAAGGTTCGTGGTCAGACTTCCATGTAGTTCAATTTTCTGTGGTTTGGCTGCATTTTTGTTGCTAAAACTTTGTTGTTTTTAAACTTGGTTGTGCGAGAAGGCACAGTGTTTCCACCTACGCCTCCATCTTGGCGGAAGTCCGGGAGTTTCTTCAGGAGAGAATCTTAAAAGCAGCATGAGGAAAGGAGAGAGTTACCTACAAAGAAGTTCCCATAAGACTATAAACTGATTTCTCAAAAGAAACCTTGCAGAGAAGAAGGAGCTAAAAAGAAGTATTCAAAGTCATGAAAGGCGAGGACCTACATCCAAGATTACTCTATCCAGCAAAGCTATCATTTAGAACGGAAGGGCAGATAAAGTGCTTCCCAGAAAAGATCAAGTTCAAGGAGTTCATCATCACCAAGCCTTTATTACATGAAATGTTAAAGGAACTTATCTAAGAAAAAGAAGATGTTCAAAAATATGAACAGTAAAATGACAACAAACTCACAACTATGAACAACTGAACCTAAAAAACAAAACAAAACAAAAAAACTAAGCAAACAAGTAGAACAGGAACAGAATCACAGAAATGGAGACCACATGGAGGGGGAGTGGGAGGGAAGAAAGGGGGAAAAGGTACAGGGAATAAGTAGTAGAAATGGTAGATAGAAAATAGACAGGGAGAGGTTAAAAATAGTATGGAAAATGGGGAGGACAAAGAACTTATATGTATGATCCACGGACATGAACAAAGTGAGGGCAGAGGGATGTGGGTGGGAGGGCGTGTGCAGGGCAGAGGGGAATAAGGCAGGGGATGTGACAACTGTAATAGCATAATCAATAAAATGTTAAAATGGAAAAAGTGTAAGAAACATACCTATAAATATAACAAAATTTCATTATTATAAATGTAGACATTCAAAGCAGGAGAAGGATGGCCTCTCCAAAAAAATAGTGTCAACACAGTTGGTCCTTCAGTTGGAAATTGTTAGACCCCCACCTGACACCATATGTAAACAGAAATTTCAAGTGGCTTACAGAGTTACACATAAAAAATAAACTATCAAAATATCAAAAGAGATACAGGAAGATAGCTCTTGTCATCTGGAGATGGAGAAGACCATCTTAAGTAAGGCTTTGCAGAACTCATAAAGAGAGAAAACACTTATGTGACTCTATAATAATTTTTAAAGTCTTCATGGAAAAATTACCCATCCATTGCATGTATTTCTAAAAGGCCAGTGGCTCCCTGGAGAAAATATTTGTAAAATTGACAAAGGCTTAATATTCGGAAAAGCTGAAGACCTTCCATCAGAAAAGATAAGCAACCCAAATTTTAAAGTATATGAACAGAGGATTCACTTGAGAAAAGGTACACATGTTTTTCAATACACACGTGAGAACACACTTTTCCAATCAAGAAAATGCCAACTCAAACAGCAATGGTATAACTCTCTACCATTGGGTGGCTGTGAGTTTAAAGATCAATGACATCCACTTTTAGCAACAGGGGAAACTCATTCTCATATACGATTGGGTGTGAAGGTAAAGGGGTTCCATTCTGGGGACAGAGGAATTTGATAGTGTCCATCCGAAATGACTAAATGTGTGTTTCCTTGGACTGTCCCCCCTGCACACCCTGTGCCAGAGGGAGAGTGTTCCGGATGGCCACTGTGCTGACCAGTCAGAAACAGCCTAGAAAGTGTGCCGGTTAAATGACCTCTGACCTCTGGCACAGAACACAGGCAGCCAGATAAAATCATGCACCACTCTTGGTACTGACACAGGTTTTCAACGCATCTAGTTTTCTTAAATGTAGGTTATTAATAATGCATATGTGTGAAATCATTTATCTAAAATCATGAAGAGAGATTATTTAAGGATGCTTCCCATGATGACTTCTAGTCAGGGAACAGCCTTATGGTGGGGTGGGTTAAGAGGGGAAATCTTTACCTGTATGTCTGATTTTTTTTTAGTAAATCACAGGAATGTATTCAGATATTGCTTATAATTTTTTGAATGTAAAGAAAAATGTAGCTGTGAACATGTAATAGTTTTGTAATCAGTATTTTTTAAAAGATTTTATTTATATTTAGAGAAGAAGGGAAGGAGAGAAATATCAGTGCATGGTTGCCTCTCGTGAGTTCCCTGCTGGGAACTGGCCTGCAACCCAGGCATGTGCCCTGACTGGGAATTGAACCACGATCTTTTGGTTTGCAGGCCCGCACTCAATCCACTGAGCTACACCAGGCAGAGCTGTAATCAGTATTTTTAAATGCCATTGAAAAAGTCAAAGCTGTCTGGAGCACTGTACGTGGGTCCTCCCGGCCATCCACTTACAGCGAGTTTTCCAACTGCCTCTGTACAGCATGCCCACTTCACAGATGGGGAAACTGAGACTGCAAGCCCTCCCCCTGTGCCTCAGCACTGGTGATGTAGCAAAACCATCAGCTGCTGCTCTGGGGAACCACATGGTAGAATTAATTTCAGGAGACCCTGCCCTCCCAGCCACCCCCCAACCACCAGGGCCACCCAGAAAAGAGAACAGAACAAGGTCACATTTGCACAGATTTAATCCCTGCTGTTCTGGGCCCCAATGCCAGAGCCCTTCCAGGTCACACTTCCCTTCTCCTGGCCTGCCAAGGCCTAGTCATCCACCACAGCTCTCCCCACTGGGATTAGGTCTCCCAGTGGTCGCTCTGTCCCCACCTTGACTCTTGTTGAATATGGACACGTGGCCTTGGTCTGACGTTGATCTGGCCCCATTTGGCAGAGGCGGAGCAGGAGGAAGAAGGGAGGGGAGATCAGGGGCCCGTTTGGGGCTGCAGCAGCCAGGGCAGGAGGAGAAGCCCAATGGAGGTGCAGGGGCCTGCGGGAGCCCTGCTGCTCATGTGATTCTTGATCCACCTGCTGTATTTGGTGACGCGTGTGTATACTCCTGGATTCTGTGCTCTGGCGCAGGCCTTTTCCCAGGACAACACCCCAGCCAGAATCCATCTGTCCTCGACTTCGCAAGCCAGTGGGCCTCCAGAGTCCCCCTAGGCAAAGATAGAGGAGTGATGGAGGCTGCAGGCCCAGCTGGGACCCAGGGGACCCAGGGGACCCAGGGATGCAGACTGCCCATGCTCTCCATTCCGCTTGGAAGATTCTTTCACTCCTCAGGACCTTGCTACCTGGGGTCCTCCTTTAGCCCAGTAGTTGGGGACCCCGTTGCAGAATATTAGGAAAATCAAAGTCACATGGGAAGGAAGATGGGAGCAGAGCACTGTCCAGTGATGGTGACAAGGAGGGAGGCCGGGGAACTTCCCCCGGCCTGGGCGTCGCTCCCAACAGAAGGAGCCCTCCCCGAAACTCACATAGCACAGGTTTTCTCCATAATTGGTGGCGCAGATCATGTCCCCCAAGACAAGGGGAATAACACGGGGGATGACGGACTTCCTGCGGTAAATCTGGTCACACCTCTTGTTGTCCATGATAAACACCTCGGCCTCCTGCAGCTCCGGGGTCAGCGTGGAGTTGGCTGTGGAGGGGCCCAGTGGGGTGGGAACGAGCCCTTCACTCCACTCAGCCCCGGCCTTTTCCCAGTGTCCTGCCACCTCTCTCCTGCAGACTCAGCCAGGCCAGGCCCCTTCGCGCCTCCTTGCTCTCCTTCCTGGGCCCCTCCCACTGCATGAGAACCAGGTCTGACCAGTCCCTCAGCCCCCAAGGCTGCGTTTCAGGGTCCCTTTCTCTGAGAAGCTTGGGCTTCTGCACCAAGCGGGCCACAGTCCCACTGCCACGCCACTGTGGGCACACTGGGGTCCCGGCACACATCACTGCGGTCCGGCCTGAGCGCTGCACTGGCCGTGCCCTGAGCCACCTGAATCAAACTCGCTGTCCCCACAGGCATCTCAGGCAGACCCTCTGCCCAGCGTGCATCCCAGCTCCCTCTCGGCTGCAGCCCAAGGTCGCCTGGCCACAACTCTCCCTGTCCGCCTATGCCCCCTCCACAGTCAGGGATGAGCTCCCAACACACAGGGCCTGTGTTCCTAGTGCCGAGGGTTCAGCATGGGGCAGATGCTTGAAGTTCAAGTGAGCAAATGGGTGAGTGGGTGAATTTGTTGGTCCCTGGCTCTGAGCTCCTGTGAGGCAAACCATCCTGCCCAGCCCGGGCACGGCTAGGCCCGGATGAGGTGCCCACAGCCACGGACCATGGTTCCCACGTGAGGGGTGGTCCTAACCCACCCCAGAACCAGGGCCCCCGGAGCTTCCTGAGAGGCACCGTGGTGGGGGGCATCCCTCAGGCAAGGCCCCAGAGGAACCAACCACACCCACCCCTCCTGCTCACCTGAGAAGCGCTGCTTGGCCTGGCTCCAGCCAGTCACCCAGCACTGCGTCCCAACCTTCAGGTTGTAGGTGGGCTCGGGGAGGCAGATGGGCTGCACGTACTTGCTGAAGATGGCGGGGGCGTGAAGCCGGAGAAGGGCAACGTCGCCCATGGTGAAGGTCCGGCCCCAGTACTTGGGGTGCATGATGATGTCCCTCACGGGGATGGAGACGGCCTTCCAGGGGCCCAAGGGCTTCAGCTGGGAGGTGCCGAGAACCACCGAGTACTCTTTGGTGCTACAGGGGACACCGAGCCCCACCTGGTAAACGGCAGGGCCCGAGCAGCCCCGTGCCCCAACCTCCGCCAAGGACCCCGTCCCTTAGGTGTGACTGCCTCCCGTTCATCATTCGAGTTGGTGCAAGGTGGCCTGGTCTGTGTGTGGTGTGTGTGGGTGCTGGTCTACATGTGTGCTTTCACGTGTGAGGGGTTGGAGCGTTGGGTGTGTCTGTTGCCCTGTTTAGGACACGGTCTTTCTTGCTTGGAGCTCCTGGCCCCTGTATCTCCTGGGCCTGCCTCCCCTGTTCCAAGCACCCCTATCCACTCCCCACTCCCACGTTGCCTCACAGAGGAAACAAGGAAGCTAGGCCGGACCTGTCCCAGCCCTGGGTCCCAGGCCCTGGAGACGTGGGCCTCACTCACCCTTGGATGCAGTGGGCTGCAGTCACCACCCACTCGTGGCCAATGAGGGCCCCTCCACACACGTGCTCACTTTCCAGTCGGAGGCTCACTTCCCAGGGCCAATGGCGGGTCACGTCCAAATCCTTCGGCCACCAGGGTTTGCCACAAGCTTCAGGGACAAGTGTGCCAAGGAGACACAGTGACCACACAGAGGAGGATGAGAATGAATGAGACCAAGGTGCCCCTGGGGCAGCCTGCACAAGGCTGTGAACTGGGACCTCTTTGCGTTTCAGGCCAGGGGCCTGGCCAAAGGCACTGAGCTTGGCAGAAAATGACAGTGGAGGAAGCAAAATGCACCAAGACAGAGACATCAAAGGAGGAAAGAAAAAGAGATCCCGAGACACGCCGGGCACAATCAGCACAGAATCTCAAAACTGCGAGGCACAGAGAAGCCCCAGGATGAGAAGCGCACTTTCTTGTGTCTGGTGTAAGCTCCTAGGCCGTGCTCCTGAACGGCTCCGCGGCTGCCACATCTCTCAGGTGCCCACTCTGCTGAGAGCGAAGACAAGCTCTGGATGGCTGATCCTGCCCAGGCCATTCAAGAAAGAACCCAGCCTGGGCCCCCCCTTCCGGCCCCCACAAGCTTACACTCTCTGTGTGCACACAGTTCCAACAGTCAAGTTGTACGACTCTATGAATGGACATGGATGCACGTATTGTAAATAAAATATTAACCAGCATCATATTTTTATAAAATAATGCATTATGATAGCGTAGAGATTGTCTCAGGAGTGCAAGGTGGACCCACAAGTGGGGAGCTCTCAGTGGGTTCTCTGCAGAAAGGTCCTGTGCTTTTCTCAATACACCCCAAAAAGGGCATTGGGAAAATTCCAAACATATTTATAACTACACACACACACACACACACACACACACACACACACAAACCTCTTACCTAGCAAACTAAGGAGAGAAAAGAAGTCACCGACTTTATAAAAGTTATATGCCACAAAGCCACCTCGAACATCACGAAACCCGGAGGAGGAGGCAGAAAGAACCTGCTCACATGCCGGACGTGGGGAACAGTGGGACCCCTTGGGGGAAGGGCACCAGGGACCCCTGGGTGCTGCTCCTGCTCCGCTCTCCCGGCTGCTGACCACACGGGTGTGCTCGCTGTGTGATTTATAACATGTGCACTTCTTGTGTGTGTATATATAATACTTTGACAGCTTGCTTTTAACATCAGTAATATTTCCCTAGCCCAGCACAACCAACAGAAAACATATTCAAAAGCAGGAAACATTTTTCAATAGCAAAGATGTATAAAGTGCCAAGGAATTAACTTATCCAACACTACACGAGATTTCTACGGCGCTATGTTTATAACTCGAATAAAGGGCTCTGAAAACGATTGGCATAAACGCAGAGACGTCCATTGCTCTAATCAGAACAACTAAATATTTCAGATGTAATTTTGAGACAAGCTGAGCCTCTCTTAAAATGGATGGGGAAGTTCTTCCGTTACTCTTTAAGCCTCTCCTCCATAGTATTAGTTTCTCTGCAGGCCCTCCCCAGGCCAGTCTGTCTGCGCCTGCGCACAAGGGGAACCTGGCTGGGAGCCTAGGGAACAAAGAGGCCCACTGTGCGCCTGCGTGAAGAAACCCATCCCACATCAGCCTGACCCCAGCAGCCGTTCGGGAGCCATGCTCACTGTTAGTGGGGGCTCCCGTGGTGCATGGAGCTCCCTCCCTCCTTCCCTTCCCCTTATTTCCAATAAACCTCCTTTCAAACTGTCTTCATCTCTGCTCTTGATTTCTATCTTGGGGAAAAGGGCAAACCCCCTTTGCTGGTGACAATTTTTCCCCAAATTAATTCTATAAAGTCACTTTCCAAGTTAGAATTGTTAAGAAATTGGATAAACTTACTCTAAAATTTAAATAGAAAGCAAGGTTTCCTGAACAGATTAGACTTTGAAAAAATAGATCAAAGAAGGGACCATTATCCTAGAAGCTATTAAGGCACCCATCAGAGCCACACTAGCAAAAATAGCGTGACACTGACCAGGACGAACTAATGGGCAAAGGAAGAGAATAGCGAACGGAAGAGATTGTTCCACAGGCTACAGGGACTTATTGTGAAGACAGGAGCCACCATCATCGGCGGGTGGAGACCAGCTCCCCGAGTATACGGTCCTGGGAAGTCAGCTTGCTCCAGAATAAATAAGAACAACAAAACTGGATTCCTCTCTACCAGCACTGGAAGGCCTAATCACAAACGGTCCAACTGTAGAGTTCACAGCAGCCCACGCCACGTGGGGTGGGAAAGGACTCCTAAAACAAAACCTCACGGCACACACCACAAAGCATTCAACCTAGGGCGACATAGAACGAAGGCTTTCTGACCCCACGAGCAACATCAGCAAGCAGACAGATGACAGGTGAGAAGGCAATATTTGCAACGTCTCAGATCAGTACGAGACTTTTATTAGGAACATACAAGAAGATCAACAAGGAAAAAGAACAGACAATATGAAAAACTAAGGCCAAGCAATTTATTACAGGAAGAAACTCAGTAGGCCAATAATGGCACATTAACACATGCTCAAACTCATCCGCAATGAGTTAAACCAAGAAGTCCTTTTGTTTTAACCTATTACATTAGCAAAAAAGTGCAAAAGCTGGACTGTACCAAAGGTTGGCAGACCTGCAGCAACGCACAGACCTCCACAAACCGCTGGTCGGAATGCGGGGACTGGCCAAGCTGAAGCCCGGACAACGAACAGAGGTGTGGCCTCGACGCCACTTTTTGAAGTTGGTCAGCACACTGTGGCTCTCTGAGAGAAAGTCCTCAGAAAATACACACCAACATAATCGAGATAAAGAACCGTGTCGCATGTTCCCGTAACTGACCCTGAGAAAAGGTTTTGTGTACACATGTTCTTTGTACTGTTTGTGTTTTCAGTGTTTTGTAAGCTTAAAATTATTGCCAAATAAACTGTTGGTTTGGTTTTTTTTTAAACGGGGCTAAATGAAAAGCATGAGAAACAGAAAGAGACCCGGAGCACATGCCATCTGTGTCCACTAAAAACACGTGCACACAAAACCGCGGTGCGTATTTTCACAAAAACACACCAAGAGAAAGATGCGCATTGAGCAAGGCTGGAAAGAGGGCAGAGGGAGGGAACAGCCGTGGGGCAGGGACGTAAGCAGGGATGACTGACTCCATCAGTCAAACAGTTCACAACAAATCAGGGAGCACCCGTGACCACGGAGGCCCCTGAACAAGCAAAACAAACCCACCCTGCACCCTGGAGGTCTAAGGGTAAAGACAGGAAGACCCAGAAGTGCCGGGCTCTGCAGGTGCTCCTTTGCAAAGAAACAGTTTGGAGCCCAAAGGTTTCTGCGTAGAAAAGGGTCACACCCCCTGACGGGAACAGCCTGGGCCGAGTTCACTGAGGCTCCACATCCCACGGGCGGCCCAGCTGCCCTCTCCCCCACGCTGTTGGGTCTGCACGTCCTGGCAGCCACGGGCTCTCGTTCAGAAAGCAGACGCTTTACACGAAATTCCTGCTCCCTGCAGACCCAGGAGCACCGCCACCAGGGGAGCCTCTTCAGAGCGTACCCTCCCAGGAACCGAGGGACCCTGCAGCAGGGGCTCGCCCTACCCACCTGGCTTGATGTCATCTTCCTCGAAACCTGGAGGAGAAAAGGGGGACTGAGATGAAGGGAGAGGTCACAACAGGATGACAGTGAAGAGGTGCACTGTCATTGACTAGCTCATTTATTCATTCACCGAATACTTTCCTTTTTTAATTAAAAAATTATTTATTTTTATTTTTATTTTTTAAAAATATTTATTTATTTATTTTTAGACAGAGGGGGAAGGAGAAAGAGAGAAACATTAATGTGTGGTTGCCTATCATGTAGCCCCCAGTGGGGACCTGGCTCGCAACTCAGGAATGTACCCTGACTGGAAATCAAACTGGCAACCCTTTGGTTCACAGCTCGTGCTCAATCCACTAAGTTATACCAGCCAGGGCTTTATTTATTTATTTTTAGAGAGAGCGGATGGGAGGGGGAAAGAGAGGAAGAGAAACATCAATGTGTGGTTGCCTCTTGCACACCCCCTACTGGGGACATGGCCTGCAACCCAGGCATGTGCCCTGACTGGGAATTGAACCTGCCACCCTTTGGTTCAAAGGTTGGTATTCAGTCCAGTGAGCCACATCAGCCAGAGCATCATTCACCAAATACTTTCTAATCTCCAGCTCTGGGCCCAGCCTGGAGCCCAGAGCTGGTGAGGACAGAGGTATCGGACAGATGCATGTTGTGTGTGCCCTGGAGGAACGTGCTGGCCAGCCCGGGACACCAAAGCCAACACAATCACCAGCATGAGATCAGTGCAGGGACAAGGCCACAGAGGTCAGGTGAGCAAAGAAGATGTAATGGAAATAGGGGTTATTGTGCCAGGGCTTCGAGATGAGATGGCACAACAAAAATGAGATGTGACAGTGGCATTCCTTACGAAAGGAACATCTCGGTGTCTGCCTGAGGCTTTCAGGATAAAGGGCAAGGCCTGTGATGGCGAGAAATGAAGCCAGAAAAGCCGAGTCAGAGACAAGGGTGGCCAGGGGACAGGTGACATGGTTAGGCTTGTATTGTGAAGGCAGCAAGGAGAATGGACAGGAAGGTGACAAGACCAAAGGCAGGGGGATCCCACGGGAGGCGCTGCAGAAACTGGGCAAGAAACTCGGAGGTCTGAACGAGGAAGCGGCAGTGAGAACAGACATCGAGAGCTAGAGATGGGATTTGGGGAGATGGCTGAGCCTAGGGTGTCCCTCTGCCCCATTTGTTTTAATCCTCACCCAAGGACATGTTTTCATGGCTTTTTGGGGGAAAGGAAGGGAGAAGGAGAAACATCCATGCAAAAGAGAAGCACCGATTGGTTGCCTCCCAGATGCACCTGGACGCACAACCTAGCTAGGTATGTGCCTGACCAGGAATCCAACCCGCAATCTTCTGGTCATAGGACAATGCTCTAACTAACGGAGCCACACAGGCCAAACCTCCCTCCCCATTTCCGATCTTAGAGACGAGTGGCTGCTATCCACTGAGTCAGAGAACAGAGTAAGAGAACCAGTCCAAGCAGCTGAGATGTTTCCAGGTCTTTCAGATGATGCCCGGTAGGCGGATGCACATCCGGACACGAGGGGCAGCATCGCATAGATGGTAGCTCGGGGCCCAGGGCATGTGAATTCACCCGGGCAGCACATGAGGGAGCACCAGTACGTCGGGGATGCACCACGCACTGGGGCCGGGAGGGGCACAGCGGGGCAGGGGAGTCGCCCCGCGGGAGAGGAGAACTGAGACAGGCTGAGCCTCTCTCAGGTGGATGATGGCAAGTCCCTTCTGTTACTTTTTGAGCCTCTCCTAGAAAAGATTAAAGTTTCTCTCTGGTGAAAAAGATGAAGGGATGAAGAAGTACAGATTGGTGGTTACAGAACAGTCACAGTGATGTAAAGTACAGCGTAGGGAATACAGCCAATAATATCGTGATAACTAGGTATGGGGCCAGGTGGGTGCTGGAAACATCGGGGGGGGGGGGCCTCTCTGAAAAATACGCGATTGTCTAACCACTATGCTGTACATCTGAGACGAATACAGAATAATACTGAATGGAGACCGCAATGGAAAAATAAAATTAAACTGTCTTCTCTTGGCCCTCCCCAAACCACTGTGTCTGCATCTGCGCCAGTCAATGCCAGCCCATAGTAGGAACCCGGGGAAGAGAGAGACCCACTGTGCCCCCACGTGAAGGAACCCAGAGCTGTATCAGCCCGACCCCAGAGCAGCTGGAGCTCGCCGTTAGTAGGGGCCCCCTTGGTGTGCGGAGCTCCCTCCCTTCCTCCTCTCCCTCCCTCTTGTTGTCAGTCCACCTCCCTTGGAATGGGCTTCACCTCGCCTAGGAGGGAGTCGTAGAAAGGTCGGAACAGCGAGGCGATGCGCCTGCCAGGAATGGGCTGAGAATCAAGGGGGAGGCACTGGGAGGAAGCACAAAGTGAACGCTGTAATGGTGAGAACTCCAGCAGTGACGGAAAGAGACAGGGACCACACAGAGCAAATACCATATGAGAGGGATGAAGGTCTGTAAGCTAGGCTGATGGAGGGAGCATGCGCAGGAGGGCCCAAGGTCTGTAAGTGAGGCTGACGGAGGGAGCATGCGCAGGAGGGCCCACCTTGAGCAGGAGGCTGGTCTCTGACTCCTCAAGAAACGGGTGAGAGTGAGTTGTGTAGTCGGGGGTCCCTGGGGCAGGAGGGGGTCAGGGAGACAGCGGCCTGCGCCCGCTGGTGAATGAGGCTGCGCTGGTGAGACACAGTGGGCTGGAACAGAGGGTCTGGGTAGGAGATGAACTGTGGAATGATCTTTAAGGAGTTGGACACCATGAATCCATGCGGGCCAGACTGCGAGCTTGAGTGGGGTCTGCAGGGGAGCCCTGCTGCCTAGAAAATCTAGTCTGGGGATAGAGGGGAGCATCTGAGAGACCCGAGGATGCTGGTGAGAGGTGGTTGGGTCTTAGCCCCGGTGCCCACGCTCATAGCGGAAGAAGTGGCTGACTGGCTAGGAGAAAAACCGGGGGTCCCCAGGAGGCTACAGGGCCTGAGGGAGGAGGCCAGAGAGCGCAGGAGCTGGCATTCCTGGCATCTTCCAGGCGGTGGTGGAGGAGAGACGACTCTGGGGTGGGTCCAGCCCCTGTCCCCGCCTCCAGTGCGGGTTGGGGAGGGGGAAGGGTGGGAGGAGGAGAGAGTGGGGTGGGCTGGGGAGGGGAGGGGGCGGAGGCTTGGGGAAGAAGGAGGGAAACAGCTGTTATGGCCTCACCCAACTTCAGCCGTGGCAGCAGCAGCAGCAGCAGCAGCAAGAGGAGGAGGCTGCAGGCCAGGCCTCCAGGCCCAGACAGCAAAGGGGCCATGAGGCCCAGGAGGCGTCACCCGGCAACTTCAAAGACGCGAAGGCGCCTCGATGCGTGAGGGCTCCGCTAGTGCACGATGGCGGCTCTAGCACGTCACCTACGGATCTCCTCCGGCGCGAGACCGACGGCCCGACTGGCCACCACGTATAACGACGACATATGACAGCGCCCTGGAGCCGTGCAGGGGCCATGAACTCTGCCCTGCACCCCCACCTCACGCTGGTTCCTGGAAGTTGACCTCAAAGCCCTGGATCTGTGAGTGCCTCCCTGGCTCCCCTCCCCATGAAAGCACCGCAAGTGCCTTAAATTGGTGACAGAGCCCCAGAACCTAGCCAATGAAGGCACACAAATTCCTGGACCCGTGATGGTGCCTCGGCACCCAGACTCTAACTATACCCTTGGTGCACTGGACTTTCACAATTTATATTGATTTGAAAATCTGGAAATCTGTAGAAAGCACAGGAGAACAGTAAGGCTAGGGGATCAGGGACACTGTATTTGAAAAAGCACCATTTGAGCTGGACCTAAGATTGGGACAGAGTCTTGGGGAGTCGATATTCCTCCTCTTCCACCAACCAGAGGGTACAACTGAAAGACATGCCGGCCTCAAGCTTTGACGGGTTGTTCCGCAAAGTGATGACGTCTTGGAATCCACTGGTGAGGTAGAGGTTGGGAGGTGATCGTGAAGATGCCTGTCTTGTGTCTCTTGTCCAGCGTGAAGGGTCCAGCTCTGGGGACCACATTCCCCAGCCTGGCATCTAAGGGGGTCACATGTGTTCCCACAAAGAGGAGGTACATACAGGTGCTGTGTGTCACTTCCAGGCCAAGACAGCCAAGAGGAGGTGGTCTTGTGTACCTGTGTTACCGCAGGACAGTGGTTCTCAAAGCATCGTCCCTGCAGTAGTAGCAGCAGCAGCAGCAGCAGCACACTTGGCAACTCGTGAGAGGTGAACCTTCCCAGGTCCCACCCACGACTACATGACTGGAACTAGTGGTCGCATTTTAACAAGCCCTCCTGGGAATGCCGATGCAGGCGAAGCATGCACACGGGGCTGAGTGGAGCCATCAGAAAGAGCAAAGCTACCTGCGGACCAAGTGATAGGAACAAGAATCAGCTTTGTTAACCATGAATATTCAAGTGGCTTCTTAAAGCAGCTGGTTGGATGCATACTAAGAGGCTGGGTTCAATTCAAGCTCTCGGTCTCTCCAGCCCAGCCTTCCTCGGACAACTCGCGGGGCTGGCTGACATGGACTGGACTCTGAAACCCCCAGATATCTGGGGGGAAACCTTGACCCCCTGGGAGAGCAGGGGAAAGATGATTTGGAGGGAGTTGATCAGCAGCTAGGCAGAGAGACTCCGGGACCCTGGGCCCTGGAATGAGGATGAAGAACTACATCCCAATACAGTGACCCTCTTGCCCTGCTCGCTGGGGAAATGAATGCTGATCTTGGTAACAGTGTCAGGGTGAGAAGAAAGGAGGAGCAGTGGAAGAGAAGGAATATTCCTCATGCCCCAGCTTTACCCTTGATCCCAGGTCCAGTTTCTCTGGATCCTCTATTCTGAGCGGTAGAAGCTGTTAAATTAGGCTACAAAGCCCCCTGCAGACCCACGGACAACTACCACAGGGACATAGGGAGTGGGGCCCAGCCGCCTGAAACCATCCCTAGGACTCACATCTGAGCTGCTAGGGGCTCACCACTCCCTCGTATCGTGGGTGTCCAACCCGTGACCCGTGGACAACATGCAGCCCAGGCTGGCTGTGAATGCACCCAGTACGAAATTGTATTTACTGAAAACATTGAGATTTTTTTGTGATGATTATGTGTCACAATATATCTAATGTGTGACCCAAGACAAGTCTTCTTTTTCCAGTGTGGTACAGAGATGCCAAAGGGTTGGACACTCCTGGGGCTTAAAAAGAACCCTATGTAGTTCCTACGCTAAACGGGGAACGGCCACCACAGGGAATGTTACATGCAACCCCAGCACACCCAGACCAGCAGGGGTGCAGAACACACGAGCCAGTCTCCAAACATTTATTCAATGACATCGGAAATCTCCGCACTCCTTCGTGCCTCAACACAACTCGGGCTGAGCCTGGATGTGGCCACCAGGACACTGAGGAAGGGGGTTCCAGGAGAAGAGATGACCCAGGAGGGCTTGCGTGGCAGAGGCTGGCCACTCACAGATCAATCTGCACTGGGGTGCGGGGAGCTTTCCCCCGCCCCAGACACCTGAGTCCTGTGCAAGCCACACCCCAGCAGGGACAGGGTGACAGACACCTCCTTCACTCTCTCTGGACAGTCAGCAAGCCAACTGGCTTGACCAAGTGTCAGGTCTAAGGTGTCCACCGTGGATGCCGCCTCTTCCTTGGTAGACGGTTCTCTGAGCCATCCTTGCAGCACCTGCTCCAGCTGGCAGGTCAGCTGGCCCTGGAGCTGGGATGGCTTCGCCCCTCCCTCCTGGCAGGCAGAGCACAGGCAGGGTGGAGGCGGGGCCGAGGCAGGGGCCTGGGCACCAGGCAGGCTTGCTTTCAGGACTCCAGTCTCGCCTCTGCTGTGTTGTGTGGCTCTGTGCAGGGTCAGTGGGTCCCAACAGGAAAGTGAGGGGAGGGCGCTGAGGAGTGGGAGGAGAGGCCTCGTAGGAGCCTCAGAGACAGGAGGGGAGTGGGCCTCGGTGATAGGTGATCACGGGGTCGCCAGGAGGCCCAGGGGCAGCCCCAGACACAGGGGCAGGATGAGGAGTCCTGCTGAGTCAAGAACAAAAGCCCGACTCATCTGATCAATGACCCAGTCCTTGTAGAAGCTAAGTTCTGTGTAAATTCCAGGATGGTTTTTGCGACCACAGCCGAAGCCCCAGCTCACGATTCCCACCTGGACCCACGTGTCGTTAAATTCACAGACCAGGGGGCCCCCGGAATCTCCCTGGAGAAAGAGGAAGACACAGAGCAATGGAAGAGAACCAACAATCAGAACAGGCCGACTGCCCTGCACGGCACTGGGCAGGTGGGCACGCGGGGGCTTCCCCAGGCACCCGCCTGGCCCAGGGTTCTGGGAAAGATTTAAAAGTTGGGAAAAAAATGTTTTAAAAAGTTGAAAATTTTTAACAAACAAAATTACATATACTAAAAAAGCCACACAACCCTGGCTGGTGTGGTTCAGTGGATTGAGCGCCAGCCTGGGAATCAAAGGGTCGCCAGTTCAATTCCCAGTCAGGGCACATGCCTGGGCTGTGGTCCAGGTCCCCAGTAGGGCACACAGAGAGGCAACCACATAGTGATGTTTCTTTTCCTCTCTTTCTCCCTCCCTTCCCTTCCCTAAAAAATAAATTAATAAAACCTTTTTTAAAAACTGCACAGAAAATATTGACTATACGCAGAAAATGTACACATTCTGCGATAACAGTGATGAATGATGTTCCCTCAGTACATCGCTAACCACAAAGGCGGGATTCGGAGCATCTGACTCTATCACTGGTGTTTCCGGCCGGAACCTCCCGTCCGCCCTGTCCCCTCCAGGCAGCATCAGCCCTTCCCTCCTGAAAATGGGTCCCCCGAGTCCCCTTAATTGGAAGGAAGGGTGAATGGAGGGCTGGCCGGTGATGCAGGCACTACTGCCTGTGGATGAAGAATCTTCAAGGGCACAACCGAAATCCAGAGGCAGCCAAGGGCCAGGAACTGACCTGGCAGGAATCCTTTCCCAGGGCGTTGTAAGCACAGAGAGCCCCTTTCTCCAGTATGTTCACCGAAGTTTGTAACAGCTGCTTTAATATTTCGTTGCATTCCTTATAGCGAATGATGCTTTGCTGGGCCTCCTGCAGCAGTTCGGGAGCGTCCTCTTTGGAGTCTGTGAAAATGATGTAGGAGTGGGTGGGTCTGCTCGGTGGGCCAGTGCTGGAGCCCCCGGCACCCGCCCTGGGTCTGATAGGGTGTGCTCATATGCACACACCCTCTTAAGGCAGTGGGTATTGTCCCCTCTTGACACTGGAGGAAATGAGACCCAGAGCTGACATGGGGAGAGGAGGAGGTAAGAAGCCAAACCAAGATAAGACGAGAGAAGGAAGAAGCAATCAGGACAGGAAGAGGCAGGGCCTTAAAAGCCTGGGAAATCAAAACCTAGGATCTGTCACTCTTAGTAATAGTGACAGGTGTCCTATACATCAGTAAATTATCTTTGGAGCACCATCACAGACTCTCAGACAGGAAGTGCCCTAAGGGTACCAAATCCAGCCTCACCCCAGGGATGGGGGGCCTGCAACTTCATCCTGAGGCGTTCTCTGCTCGCTCTCTCTCTCTCTCTCTCTCTCTCTCTCTCTTTGTTGGCCTCGAAACTTCTTATTTTTACTTTATTTTATTTTTTTAATTATTTTATCGTTGTTCAATTATAGTTGTCAGCATGGATGGAACTGGAGAGCATTATGCTAAGTGAAATGGCCTCTTCTCATTCACAGAAAACTCCCTGAACACCAAGCCAAGCACTTCCCGTATGAAGCAGCTCAGATTAGCAGACAAATCAGCGTCACTGAGCTAAAGCCCCCCTTGCTCGTTACCCAAGCCCCCAGGTCCTGACATGCTAATAGAAATTTGCAACACCATCAAATCGCTCCCTCACAGCATCTTCTCCACCCCCCTGCCTTAGCCACTTGCTAGAAAATTGCCTCCCAGTGTCTCCGTTTAGCTCCAACGCTGACCCCCAGAGCACCAGGCAGCCTCTTCCGGGGCGGGACCTGCTTCACAGCCTCACCTTTTTCGTGCAGTTTTCCCCATCCAGTCACCCAGCACTCCGTACCAGTCTGCACCAGGAAAGCCTTTTCGGGGAAGCACACGGGCTGGATGTATGAGGAGTAATTCACAGGGAACTCGAGCAGAGCCAGAGCAATGTCATTTTCGATTATTCCAAAAGATGTATAATCTTGGTGGATAACGATGTCTCGAACGGGGACCTTGACCGCCATCGTGGAGGTTTGCCTCAGGTGTGTGTCTCCTATCTTCACCGTGTATTCCACATGGCTGCAGAGAGAGCCTGGAGGGTCTGCCTTCCCCTTCCGCATGTTCTGGGTCCTTCCCAGCCTGGTCCTACCTCCAATGCCAGCCATCAGCCACTTCCCTCCCTCCGAACCACATCCCTTCCCTGCACCCCATTGGTTCTCCA